TGTGTGTTTCTCTTCTCACAGATAGAGCTCCGTGCTGTCAGTTACCCAGTGGCTACAAACATGCTGTAGGTGTGCTGTCCAGTTCTCTTTTTTATGCGGGAGACAAAACAAAAGCAATTCTCATTCTCCTCTCGTGGCGAGTATTTTCAGTTCAGTCATTCATTCACTTGTTCCCCCTCATTTCACGTTCAGTGAAGAAATGAACAACAGTCATCCACTCTGCGTTTAACTCTTCAAGAAGTACCTTTAGTATTTATTACATGATAATGGATACAGATATATAAAAACCAAAGGAAAGTTTTTATACTTGAGATATGATACATGATACTAAACACTGTGAAACTCAGAATATATAAATGGTTCGGTGGCATCCAAGTGGCGTAGAATGAGAGAAGAGTTATCAAGTTGCATATTATTGTAGTATTCACTGGTTAAGCAGAATGTATGTTGCTCTCTGCAGGTCACCTGCTGTTATCATAAATCCCTGTAAGAGCAGAGTTTGTATAAGAGCCATACAAAGTAGTTTTTATTTTACTAAAACAAACCAAGTTATCTGTGTGTGTATGTGTGTGTGTTTAGAAAGGAATGTAGTTCAAGAATACAGGCAATAACTAGTCATTTCATATATTTTGACGGAATTTAATATTTCTCCTATTCAGCTAGCAAGCAAATTCTTTTTACTCATCCCTCTCCCAAGAAAGAGCCAGAGACATATGTGAAGAAGAGGTCTGCGATAGGGAGTCAGAAGTCCAATAAGGGGAGACCTGGAAGTGCAGCAACAGACGTGAGTCCCGTCAGCGTGGATGAGGAGAATGTCGTCGTTGTGCCCATCATAGAAGAGACTCCCAGCACACCGCAGCAGGTATGTGGACATTGAAAGGAAGTCTGTAATTCCATCGTTCCTAAGATGTAACATCAAATATCTTCATCCTCTTAGCAAAATTCATCAATGAATAAACCTTTCTATATCGAGTGCCATCTATGTAAAGCCAAAATTGAAGACTAAGAAGTTATTGAGCAATTTCATGTTCTCAGAACTTTATATACATATATATATAAATTTAAATTTATACACTGGTCACGTAATGCAAATGTTCTCCTCTTATTTGGCATATGAAATATAAAAAACTCACTGCCATCAAGTCAGTGTTGACTCACAGCCACACTATAGGACAGGATAGAACTGGTTCTGTGGCTTTCGGAGATTGTAACTCTTTACAGGAGTGAAAATGTCACATGTGAATTTAGGACTGAAAGGGCAGAAATATGGTAGACACATATTAACACATAGCTGAAAGTGTGCCCTGTACTTGGGAAAGAAAACCCAGTCCATTGCCAGTGAATTGATTCCAACGTCTAGTGACCCGATAGGACAGCGTTGACGGCCCCATAGAGTTCCCAAGGTTGTGAATCTTCATGTGTCAGACTTGCTCATCTTTTCCCTGCAGATACATGGAGGGTCCCGACCACTGGACTTCTAGTTGGCAGCCAAGCTCTTAACCATTGCAGGCCCAGGGCTCCTTGAAAGAAATGAGATGGTAGCAGTGAATACTACTACAACAGCAATTACAGTAAAGACAAATAGATGCATCCGTTTCAAAGCTGAAAATGTCAAGGTTGATAAAAAGCAAGATGCAACCATATGGAGTCTTAAAGTGATGATTCTAAAGAAAAATGGTACAGAAAGTTTGAATGCAAAAAGATAGAAAGGCATATATTGCACAAAATAGCCAAGACAGAGATGTGAACATAATCATACTAACCTGATACATAGCATGCACAGGAATAGTACAGATACAAAATATAGAAGGAAGATTAAATTCAGCAGACAAACGACCCTCACGAAACTGGCTAAGCAGCTTCAGTAAGTAAGAAACAAAAAATATTAGAATGATGGCTAATGATAACAATTATGAGTTTAGTTGATGAATTAAACATAACTACATAAACTAAATACATAAACTAAAAAAGCAACCGAAAAGTCTAATTTCCAGGATTGGAAAGTATATGTCTAATTCCTTACCTGGCCTCATAGAACTCTTCGCCTGATAGCAGAGAATAGTGGGAGCTGCTGTTTCTCCTCCTCTCTCCCCGCTTCCTCCCTTTCTCCTCCCCTCCTCTACCCCCTTTGTCTCCCCTTCTTTCCGCCTTCTCCTCCTTTCACAGTCCTGGCCTGCCCACCTCCCTGTACTGTTTAAAGAACGTAGGAGACCCTGACTGTGAGGAGTCTTGCCCTCTTGCGTGTAGGACTTTATTAGTGTTCATGAATGGTGCTTGGCTCACAACATAGGTGAGCCTCTCCGTCAACAGAGGTGACCCTTGGCCCTGCCCTGACTAATGGATGAATGTGAAGGAAAGCCCCCGTGGAGTGTTCCTGCTGTCCACGGGAGTGATCACTCCTAGAAAACCCTGTTCCAGCGTCTTAATCCTCATGCATTTATTTCTTTATAGATCCAGGGTAGCAGATAGCATGTGTGTGTGTGCATGAGGAGGTATCCCCTCCGCCCCCGCAAATGTGAATTTCCCCCCCTCAAAGCTATGTATTTAAACTTTTTACAAAACAACCTTATCACCTTCAAAGTACTTTCCAAATGTGCTTAATACGTTTGTCAATTCTGAGATTCCATTCTTGGTGCATACTTCAAACACATCTGTTTGGATGGCTGACAGCACCTCATTTTTTTCCTTCACCTTTCCTAAATCATCACATCTCTGTCTGTTCATGGAAAGAATGCACAACAAGCAAGGGAATGGTCTATTTGTTTCATTTGTAGAAACAAAAAGAAGTTGCGCAGGATGAGGTCAGGTGAGTAAGGTACATGGGGCAAGAGAGGCAATGTGCCAAAAACTGGCAGACTGAGGTGGCTGTGTGAGCAGGTGCATTGTTGTGGTGGCAAAACAGTCCCCCTTCTGACACAAACCAGGCCTGTTTTGGGTCGCACGCTGCGATGCAATCTTTCCAGAAGCTCTAAATAGAAAGCTTGAGTACTCGTTTGACCTGGTGGAACCGGTTTGAAATGCACCGAGAGTCGACGTTGTCATCCATTCAGGAAGTGGGCAGACATCCAGAATGCAGTTTGTCATCAATCAACATTACACCTTTTGTGAAATGAGAAAGCTACTGATACGCTTGTGTTTTTCCCATAGCACTTTCCTTGTAAGCTTTGGCATTTTTTCCTGAGTAGGAAACAAAATTTCACAGCTGCATGCTGTTCTCATAAATTGGCCATCACTGAAAAAATGAGGCTCGAGCAAAACTGCTTTTATGAAAAAATTAACTGTGACCAGAAACAATCTTCCTAGGGGACACCATTGGGTGCACTAACTCAGAATGTGTTGCTCAGTGCTCACCCAATGGGAAAAACGCATAGTACAAAAGCTCTACTCGGCCCAGTGCAATTCTTTTGTGGGGGGGTACCCCTTCTGTACTGCTACATCCAGGGGGGCACCCCCTTATGTACTGCTACATCCAGGGTTCTCCTCGTTTTCACGGACCCTCTACCAGCCATCCTATCCGTTTCCAGGGAGTGGTCTCTTGTGATGACATGTCCACAGGGTGTGAGACTAAGTCTTTCCCTTCTAGATTCAAAGGGAGCGTTAGACTAGAAGAGAGCAGTCTTCCAACCTTAAGGCATTTTATAAAGTTAAACACCCACTCATGAACTTTTAAAAAGACTTAGTAAATTAAGTGTAGGTTTTGAAAATGATACATACCAAAAATCTTTTGAGACAAATTGCGTGCAAAAATACTATACTAATACATACACAATTATACACGGGGACTTCGAAAAGTTCGTTAAAAATTCTATTATTTTTTCATTCCATGTTCCATGAACTTTTAAATGTCATCTTTCATTACATAAATGTAAAGTTATATGAATGTAGAAAAATCTCATTAAACTTGGGAATGAAAAAGGCCCATTAGAACTGCTGCAGCTTCCTTGTACTGGAGCTTGAGTCCAATCACATGAGGGACAAAATGAAATAAGATGCTGTTTCCAATAATCACTGAGCTACCAACCACCAAATTAATGGAAACAACAAAACCAAACAGAATAGATAAACTTTAGAGGTCTAGAGAAATCTTAGCAAGTTTACCCAGATAATAATAACAATGATAACACATACTTGTATAATTACTTATCATCTATTATGTATCTGCTTGGGTAAGTACAGTCAGAATGCTCCTTAGAAGTGAGGGTAGCAAGATACAGCAAGTATTTTGGACATCAGACGATACCAGTACTGGGAAAGGATATGATTCTTGGTAAAGTAGAAAAAGGAGAAGACCTTCAAGTTGATGGATACATGCAGTAGGACTCAAACCTAAGAACTCATGTGGGGATGACGGGGGG